GCTCTTCCAAATACTATAATAGGAAGCCTGTTTCATAAATATACCATTCATTTGGTCATTAATAATGTTTTAATCCATGTCTGTTCTTACAGTGTAATTTTGTGTTATTTAACTTGATTATGTAACTTTCATTTACTACTTATGCCTTATCTCTGGGATGTGGTGGGTCTTTTTGATCAGTGGGATACTTGTGTCTTATATTTCTTTTCAAACCCCATATTCCAGCATTGTGTACTATAAACTGTAGATGGAAATCAAATGCTCACTGACTGATAGTAATAATAATTATTATTATAGCTGGCATGTATTGAGTAATTAACTACGTGCCAGAAACTGTCCTAAGTGCTTTACATGTATAATCACATTTAAGTCAGACAAAAACATTATGAAGTGAGTACTATTGGAATCTTCATTTTACAGATAATAAGACAGAGGGAGACTAAGCAACTTGCCCAGTGACAAATGTGTAGCAAGTGGCAGAACCAGGATTCAAATCCAGACTGTCTGGCTCCAGGCATAACTACTATGCATACTGTCTCTTAGTGGAAAATAATTATTTAGTGCCTAAATAATTTTATTAAACATTAAAAAACATTAAATTTAAACATTAAAGTTATTATTATTATTATTGTTTTGTGGTACGCAGGCCTGTCACTGTTGTGGTCTCTCCCGTTGCGGAGCACAGGCTCCGGACACGCAGGCTCAGCGGCCATGGCTCACACGGGTCCAACCGCTCCACGGCATGTGGGATCTTCCCGGACCGGGGCACGAACCCGTGTCCCCTACATCGGCAGGCGGACCCTCAACCACTGCGCCACCAGGGAAGCCCTAAAGTTATTTTTAAATGCTCCAAAATAGGTGATGATTGCATCCAGGGTTGGCATGGGTATGAAGAAACAGATACTCTTCTCCAGGGATATAGACATATATTGATATAATCGTCTATAGGGAATTAAGCAAGATGTATAAGAAGTTTACATATATTTACCCTTATATGCAGGAATTCCATTTCAAGAATTTAACCCTAAGGAGACAAAAATTAAAAGTACACAAAGACACAGGTATAAGGATGTTCACCATACAGTTATTTATAAGAGTAAAAATTGGAAATAATTAGAATGACTATCAATAAGAGATTGGTTAAGTGCAATGTGCTAAAACCCTACCGTAAATCCATGAGAAATGGTGAGAGGTATCTATATTTATTAAAATAAAAATAAATCCGTAGTATATTGTTGACATAAACACAGACTGCAAAATAGCACACACAATGCAATTCCAAACGGAGGTGGGGGGAGGACATGCACATATGTGCGTATCTAAAAAGATGTTCACCAAAATGTCAATAATGGAAATGTTTAGAAAGTGAGATTTTAGAGAGTCTCCATTTAAAAACAAATATTTACTGAAAACCTCCTTGTGTGTGTGTTGTTGTTTTGCCAAAGGGGCATAAAAGAAACACAGGAGTGTACAATCTAGAGATACCCAGTTCCATTCTAGGCCATGAAAGAAAACAAGTGTTGATGGCAAGTAAGTGGCTATAATGGAAGGTAAGGGAGAAGCTCAGCCAAGTGGGACCCAGCAGCCTAAGGGCCGCCTTCACCACTAGCAGGCTGTGTGAACCTAGACAAGTCACAGGTGATCTTTGAGCCTCAGTTTCAAAACAGCAAGATGACGAAGTCACATGAGGTGTTCTCAGAAGTCTTTTCAACCCCAAAGGGCTGTGGTTAAAATTTTCAGAAAGAGCAGGTAGAAATATAGTAATGCCTCAATCCCTTGCCAGTCACAGGTGTATTCTGCAGTCTATTAGTTTACACGTTAGACAGTTTGTACAAGATGTGAAATACCAAAACCCGGAAAATGAGAACAGCAATGAAAACCCATAAGCACACTCAGGCACTCGTTATTAGAAATACGATTATTCCTCGGAGAGTGGGAAAGCACACTCACCTAAGGCTGGAGCCCACGGGAGACCCCTCGCTATCCCAATAAAAGCTCATTTCCAAACAGTTGACAGTGCTCTTGTAACATTTCACTTTTATACAGATAAAAAAACTACAATATGATCCATCTGACATTGTGGTATTTATACTTCTACTGACAAAAATCTAGGGAAAAGAGTCAAGTGAGACCTTGATGTTGCATTTCACTGTTATTCAGATATATCAATAATCAAATCTGGAGAGCTGCCAATAAAAATAGAATAAACATCATTAGCATTTTAATAAACCTGCAAGCCACAGGGCTGGAAAAACAAAGCAAGACAGAGCAAAGGGAAATCAGCATGTGCAGTGTCTTCCCTCTAGCGGTTTCCCCCCCCCCCCCCCCGCGGCAGTCCGCTGTATCCTCCCCACTCCACTCCTGCAAAACACACACTCCAGGGAGATGTCTCTGTATTTTAAAACCTCTGATACACCTGCCCAAGCTCTAAAGTTCAGGGGATGTGTTGCAGTCTTTTTTTAAAACTGAGAATAAATAACCTGATTTTTAAAATACTTTCAGAAAGTGCTGATCTTTTAGTTATGAAGCATTTTGAATGTCAGATAGTCAGAACGTGATTTAATATGTTAACTAAATAGACCCAGATGAGAGATCAAGGAAAAGTGGTAAGAAGATGGGAAGAAAAGAAAAAAGAAAGAACCGCATATATGCAATAGATGAAGAGTCATCAGTTTACAGGTAGAAAGGCTGAGTTACATGTCCTTTGAAGCTACTTCCAAATCAGATCCTAGGATTCTTGGAATATATCAAACACAGAATTACATATAAGCACTCAAAGTAAACAGTTAATTTCCTTAATTTTCTGTCATTATATTTCCTCAACTGAACCAGAAATTAGAAATTGAAAGCCCTGCTTCCTTAGATATTTTGAATTTCATTTAATCTCCTTATTAGTCCATCATGTGTGTGTGAGTATGTGTGTGTGTAGATAATGTTAAAGTATATTCTGAAAAGTGTAACTCATTAAAATATACAGTATTTGGATAAAAACTGCAAGTGAAAAACATTCACAGAGGTAAAGTAGCTATATATTAAGGTATTTTACTTTATGGCAACATAAGTAGGGGTCACTGGTTTTTTTAAAAAAAACCTCCATTTATGAATCTGAAAACACTTCACCCATTTAATCTGAAAATAGAGTCATTTATGAAAATATACAATAATGAGTACACACTAATTGCCTTATTTTCTTCAGATAATTGTGAACACTTCAGTATTACCACACAAGAAGCAGTAAATAGCCATCAAGAATCTGCTAGTGTCTTTAAAATGTTTGATATAAGACCTTCACTGTCAATTTGCAGGGAACCATGAGGCTACAATGGTGATAAAGCATCAATGATGGATGGTACCACCCAAGCCACCATTCTAATAATGAACAAACGATTCATACTCAAAGTGCTTTTGAAACATGATTAAGCCTCCAAACATTTCACTAAGGTAGGTTCTCATTAACTCAATCTTATCAAAGAGAACTTAAATAAGTTTACCAAGGTTATATAGTGAATGACAATGATAAAAATCTGGAACAACAATAACAACAACAACAAAAAACAACACAAAGAACCCCAGACTCCCATAGTCCTCTGCGAGCCCTATTCATTAGTATTGCACAGAAGCCTTTCAGGGTAATTTATTTCATTGCTCCGCGTCTAACTGACCTTCTCTGGTAGCCACTGGCAAGTGTTTGCCAAAATGTCACTGACCAAAAAACTCCTTAAAATGCCATGTATTATAAAATGAATATGTCAAGAACCAGATGAAAATGTCATCAGTGACACTGACAACAATAAAAGAAAATACTCTATAGATTGAAGGAATGGAAGAAGATCCAAGTTAAAGGGGAAAAAATTACCTGAGAAATGCCATCAATGACTTCATCAACAAAAAAGTAAAAGAGACCACGGCTTTAAGTAAGGAAAGAAGGCATAAATTAAAGGGGGAAAAGTTCCTGAGAATCAACTGCTCTGTAATGGATCAGAAAGAGGAAAAAAGACTCCTTTTACAAAGGCTTGTGGGAAAACTACAACATCTCATTTACCGATCGTCCTGTTATGCCTGGCGGGGAGACAGAGGCGACATGTCTAAGCACCTGTGAGAGCTCTTCAGAGCTGAATCCCAAAGTCGCTGGTTTTCTTATTTGCATGTCAAAATTAATGACATAATTTGTGAATGTCAACAGCAGTCACAGCAAATTAAACAGAAATTGAACAAAAATTTCCTCTGTGTTGCCCTTAAAATATAAAGTCAAAAGTTGTTGGTTACAGATAGCCAGTGGGAAGCAGCTGCATAGCACAGGGAGATCAGCTGGGTGCTCTGTGACCACCTAGAGGGTTGGGATAGGGAGGGTGGGAGGGAGAGGCAAGAGGGAGGAGATATGGGGATATATGTATATATATAGATGATTCACTTTGTTATAAAGCAGAAACTAGCATACCATTGTAAAGCAATTATACTCCAATAAAGATGTAAAAAAAAAAAAAAAAAGAGGAGCTTAGGACAAAATAAAAGTTGTTGATTTTTCCCACTCTGAAGTCTTTGGAAATAAGTTTCACTCATACATATACTTAAACAACCCAGTTGGGTGTATCTACTTTAAAAAAAAAGAAGTAATTTCACTACAAAATTACTTTTACACTAAGATTTGGGATATTTTATTTTATTTTAAATGTTTTATTTTATTTATTTTTGGCTGTGTTGGGTCTTCGTTGCTGCCTGCAGGCTTTCTTCTAGTTGTAGCAAGCGGGGGCTGCTCTTCGTAGCGGTGCATGGGCTTCTCATTGCGGTGGCTTCTCCTGTTGCGGAGCACAGGCTTTAGGCACATGGGCCTCTGTAGTTGTGGCACACGGGCTCAGCAGTTGTGGCGCACGGGCTTAGTTCCTCCGCGGCATGTGGGGTCTTCCCGGACCAGGGCTTGAACCTGTGTCCCCTGCATTGGCAGGTGGATTCTTAACCACTGCGCCTCCAGGGAAGCTCAGGATATTTATTTTAAATGGACCTAGCTTGCAAATGTGATTCTTAAAATAAATGATTGCAGCTCGATGCTGATGATTATAATATATTGGGGGTATATTCTGGAATTTGCATCTGGATATGATTGGCACTTTTAAATAACAGCTTTAACAGAACTTTCAAAATAACAAGTGTATATTTTGATTACCTGCCTGAGGATGAGTTGCACTGAAGATTAACTACAGTCCACGTTTAACCCTAGGCATTTTGTTCCACCTAAATGCTTACAGGACACCATTATCTCAACAATGAAATGAAATCAATGCCTATCAGTGCTAAAAACATGGAGAGGTGCACGTTAGGATTTCCTGCTACTTTGAATTACTATCTATCCCATGTTCTCCCCCATACATACTCCCAAGCCCATCAGTGTGGATCACCACAAATTCTAAATTCTTTACCAAGTACAGTGTGCACATATACAATCTATTTAGAGGATTGAAACGTAGTATACAACTAACAGTGACAAGTTAGCAAAGATAAATGTAACCATTCAAATTAAACATTAGAAAGATACTGTCAGTGGGGAAAGAATCACAAGTAAAATATATGTGCATACAACAAGCAACAGGCGTGTAAAGTTATTGCGACCTTGTCCCTTTTTAAATAGCTACATTTTCAAAATGGGAGACACCATCAAGTAGCAGCAGTGTCTGTGTGGATGTCTGAATGTCTGTCAGGGCCTGCCTGGTGATAGTTTATACTTCTCCCCCTTTAACAAGCTTCACTGTTACATGTTACACTGTACTTGGAGATGGATGGCTGCCAAAAGCCATCACCAAAAAAGAAAACAAAAACAAAAACAAAACTCCTCTATAACATAATGATGACTCAGTATTGGAAATAAACTCATAAAAGAAAAATCTTGGAAACAAAAAGAAGATGTACATCTATTTAAAGATATAAATTACTAAACATTTCTAATTCCAATAAGACCATAATACGCAAAATATTAACTGTGTGATAAGTGATATATATTTCTTTGAAGATATTTATCCCACAAATGTCTATAAATCTGCAGAAAAAAATGTTACAGAAAAACTCTTCTTTTTTTTCCCCAAATCATTACTAAATTTAATGAAGAAAGCCAGGGCATTGTCTTGACATATTTTGTCATCCCCTTTCCAAATAAATTGTGGCCTCTCCCGTTGCGGAGCACAGGCTCCGGACGCACAGGCTTAGCGGCCGTGGCTCACGGGCCTAGCCGCTCCGTGGCATGTGGGACCTTCCCGGACCGGGGCACGAACCTGTGTCCCCTGCATCGGCAGGCGGACTCTCAACCACTGCGCCACCAGGGAAGCCCCTTCATTCAGTTTTTTTTTAATCCAGCAAGGTTAACATGTTGTCAGACTAAAACTGTATCCAAGTACCTCACATATAAACCACACCCCTGTCAGAGAATTCAGTGTGTGCCTCTTTAACTCTTCAATTACACCTATAACGCATTTTTAAAGGCTATGTCTATATTCATTAAATGAACTTGACTCTTTTGACTGACTTATTTTGATATGCTCTATTTCTTGAAGAATGTGAACAGTTCATTTTCTTTTTCTTTTACCTTGAACATAAGCTTACGTTTACTAGGTTTATTTATATTGCCATCTAATCAATCAACACACATTTACTAAACTTCTGGTTAGGAGCCCAGGAATATGCAAAAGTCAAAATTCCCAGATACAGTTTTAATTCCTATGCTGTTATCAATGTCACATTCTAAGAAATTTACAACCCATCTGCGTGTAAGTTAAAACTAAAAGAAAAAAAATGCAACCTACTCTCTCTCCTTTCCCCAAACGCAGGAGTCTCCAGATATATACTCACACAAAACAAAATATTCATCTCTGTGTGTAATACAACAAAATATTAAAATACACTGGTAATTTGCTAATGGAAAAAAAGATTAATCAACACCAAAAATAGGAATTGAGTTTAAATTCAAGTTAAAAGGAAAACAAATGGAAACTGTATTTCCCAAATGAAACTACTTCTCCAAATACCATAATAAATCATGGAGGAAATGCTCCCAGGCTTCATTTAACAGGCAATAAAACCCTGAGGCAGGTCTGATTAGTGTGGTGCTATAGTAAATGGTAAGATGAGATATGATATACATGTCAGAATCACCCACTAGTCTTAATTAGTTTATTGATGTATGGTTTCTAAGGTGATAGTTAAAATTTTTTAAAAAAGCATTTCAAAAAATGAAAAGACTACCACTTCTATTTGTAGAATTTTTTGTGGTATTTTCGTCATAGGTATTAGTACCATTACTGCCTATAGGCCATAGAAGTTATGTCCTTACAAGACTTATTACTAAAAAACACAGTGTTGAAGGCAAACATGACAGTGATTAAGCTTCAGCCACAATTCTTCTAAAAGATGATCTCCTTTTTTTCCATTTCTCCCTAACTTGACAATAGGGTAGAAAGAGATCTATTCTGAATAATATGAAACGCCAAAAACGGTTTTAAATACATATAAAATCAAGGCCTTATATTTATGTATTCTTAATTTTGTATTCACACTATTCCTTTCAGAAGAACTGTCTCTTTTCCCCATGCGTTTTTTAGGTGATTACCCAAGATTAAATAGTTACACTAGAAACTGCAAATGGATGTTATTTATTGTAATATTTATTTTAATCAATGAGATGTATTTTATTATAATGCAAGTTAGATAGTACTTATATTCATAGACTCTACTGGTAGGTTTAACTGCTTATCGCAACCAAATGTATTTTTAAACTTAAAATAAGCTTTTGGAGCTAGTTTGATAGGTGAGACTGAGGTCAGGCAGATCTGCATTCAGTCCTGACTGCACTTCCTAGCTGTGATCGCCAGCAAGATCTTTTACCTCTCTGAGCCTTTTTTTTACCTCATCTATAAAATAGGGCATAATGATACCTATGTCACAGAGTTGATGTGATAATTAAATAGGATAATGAATAAAGCACTCTTGGCACCTTGCCTAACTTAATACAAAATGTTCAACATAGAGCAGCTACAAAGTCAATGTCTGAATAACAAACTACACCAAAACTTCGCAGCTTAAAAAAACTGCTCTTACTTGCTTACAACTCCCTGGGCTCAGCTGAGCAGTTCTGCGGGTTTCATTCACAGGACTGCAGGAATCCAAAGGTTTGACTGAGGCTGGACGGTTTAAGATGGCCTCTGTCACACGTCTGACAGTTCGACCTTGGCTGTTGGCTAGACCTCTATCTCCATGTGATCTCTCATTCTCAGAGAGACTACTCTGGGCCTCTTCAGGTGGGGCAGCTTCCAGAAAAGCAAGTTGCAAGGCCCCTTGAAGCCAAACCTTGGAAGTCCCACAACATAATTTCCACTACATCCTATTGGTTAGAGCAAGTCACAAAGCCAGCCCAAGTTCAAGGGGATAGAAAAACAGATGCCACCTCTTGATGTAAGGGTAGTCAATATACCAATGCACAAAGGCATATAGGGATAGGGTAAATATGTGGCTATAATTTGCAATCTTCTAAAGTCTGTGAAATAGTGACAAATTTTATAGCACCTATGCTGTCTTTCAACTATAAATAATTGCAGAATTCATGTTTTAAAGGCCAAAAAGAAGTACTAGCTTGAGTTTTCCCCAAACCAGAGTAACACTGTTCTGCTACTTCAATGACAGATTCAAAAGAAGACCAACATCATTTAGGTTTCTTTGTTCATTTTTCTGTATTCTAGGAGTCCTCCACACTTTTCTATTTATTCTAATCAATATATTTATTTTCATCTGATTTGATATTTTTACCTTCACCATGAAGCTTTCTAATCAAACATTCCACAACAAACAGCATCACCGGGAAATCTGGATCAAGTATGCTGCACTTCTAGAAACTATGAAGTTTTGTAAAAGAAGTAAAGAAAAATATATCCTTGTAAAAACTAAATACACTTTTGTTCTTCTCCATGAAAGTGATCACTAGAGAAAAATCTAGTTTTGTGATACAGTTAACTAGCTAGGCTTAGAGATCTATTCATACCGATTTAAGCAGAAATAAAGAAAAATAAAGAAAATAATTTTTGTATCTACTAACAAACAAAAAGTAGAATGCCAAAACAAAACTTGAAATTTAACTGATTGCATCAAATCTAATTTTAATGAATATCTTCCTAAATTTCTTGTCACAGACCCGGAAAGTCACAAAGTGACGGCTATCAAGACTTCCTTTAACAGGTGTGTCTCTCAAAGATTCACTCCGAGAGCCACAGTCCTTAATACAATCCAATCTATTTGCTTTGGATAATTTCATAGGGCAGGACAGGCCACTAAACACGCTGCGTGATAAGAATGGCTCCTTAGGGAAGGAGAGAGATGAAAGAAATAGCTACTTGCTGTTTGACAATATGGTGAACAGAGAAGCAGTTTGGGGAATGACTAATTCCCCCACTAATGATATTCCTACATTTCCAATGAAGAACTGATTCCTAAAGTTGCCATTTTTTTTAGCTGAGGTTCTGTTACAACATGGCTTCATACAGAAACAGTTGGAAACTCAAGTCGTTTTCAATTTTAGACAAATTGGTGCTGCCCAAATTATAATGCTCAATAAAGGAAAACTTCAATAACATGAGGTATGCCTAATCTGTTTTTTAAGACATTTAAAACTCCTGATTATGTTAGGACAAGCCATACAAGAACCCCGAAACACATCTGTTAGAGAAAATGCCACTAGCCAGTGCCATCTTCGGTGGTTATTTCTCCCCCTGTGTGAACAAACCTCCTTAGTGTGTGCATTATTGAAACGAGATAATTCTTCTTGATAATTAGAGATTAAAGATAACCCTGTGCTACAGTTGCTGAAAAGGTAACCTACTCGATTTATTTTTAAAGGGAAACTTGTGTGCTAAAATACTCCTATTTTGCTTTAATTATTTCCAAGTCCCACATGGGTGATACATCTACTATATAGGTTCATATGGAATAATTACCATTTTTGAAAAATAGTGACCATTCTAACATTCTTTAATTATATTGCTTACTAATCTTAATTGCCACGATTTCAAAAGACAGTTCCAAAGTGCATCTTGAACAAACAGAAAAGCAATTAGCCTAAATTAATTGCTTTGCTGATGTGATTTGCAGTAGGTATGCTTGGTGGTTTTGAAACTCCTGCCACTGCTTTCACAAGTTGACGTTCTGATGATTTTTAGCCTATTTTTTCACAAGAGCAATTAACCAGATAATTGTTCTAATGTGAACCTGGACTTAAATCAGTATGTTTAGGTTCATAGTTACAATTAACCAAATATTAAACATACATTTAAAGAGCAGCACTTAAAAGTGCTACAAGGAAGAATGAAGAAAAAATATGCAACAGTTTTTTCATATAGCCACACTTTTCTCACCAAGAAACAGAAAAAAAGCTGTAACTGTCTCCTCTGCCTCTTTTCAATTAATACAAGGTGTCATTACATATGAAAAGCAAATGAAGTTTCTGGATCTTCATTTAAAAGTATTCCAAAGACTCTATTAAAAAAGCAGAAACCAACGATTCAACATTAAAGCCTAGGTATTGTTCAAAAAACGAAGCTATGGCTTTCAGATAAAAAGCATGCAATACATAAAGCAAGCTCTATCTAAATCAAGACAATGACATTGTCCTCACTTTATTAAGTATCAACTTTATTCAGAGGTAAGTAAATCTGGAAGAAGGAGGACATGTGAACCAGTTGCCTGGATTTCAGCCAGAGTTCAAGCCAAATTTAAAAACAGATTTATCCATCCTACAAAAGCAACATTTATAATTCCCTCAACACGTAGGTATTAAATTGCTTCTCTGAGCTGGGCTCTATGTGAGGTTCCAGGGGCTGAGGCTGGGGCAGAGGGCCAAAGATGAAGACGCAGATTCACCCTTGCCAAGAGAGAGATTCATAAACAAAACATTACACAGCCACACAATGATATATGCCACCAGTAGACTGATGGGCTATGGATTCAGCCAACAGTAATGTGATACAGCACTTCATTACAACCACCATTATTATTTTATCTTTTCTTTAAATATAAAGGAATTCACATTCATTTTAAGGGAAATTATTAGCAGTGCAACTATAACTGTTAATGAAACAAGTTTGCTTTTGTCAACTTCAATAAGCAAGGAGTTATTTTATACTACCTTAAACTAAATATTTTATCAGTTGAGGAATGATATACATAAAACCTTTCCATCTTCATGAAACAAAAAGGTTCAAGCTGAAAGTACTCTGTCATTCTTCATGTCTTCATGTATTCTTTTTTAATTTCTGAAAGGACCGTCATACGGAAAGTAGCCCAGGCACGTACATGTCATGTCTGCCATTTTTAATTAATACCAATCAAGTTCCAGCTATTTCTCCTCTGGTTAAACATGTGTGTACCTATCTTCTAAGATATTTCTTTATGCCACTGTTCATAAAATATTTTAGGCTGAAGCAAAATCTCTTGCACTAAATTAATAACTAATCACAGGAGATATTTATCATCTCAAGCCTTTTACAAGGAAATTGTCAGATTTAATCACCTTTCTCATATTTTCACTATTTACTGGGCTTCATTTATCATACATTTAAAAATTTTGACAACAGTGAGTTATTTTAATTACCATTTCTGGTTGGGGATTAAGAATAAGACAACAGCTGGGGGGAAGAGGGGGGAGGGCAGGAAGTCATAAATTTGTCCCAACAGTCAATAAACTATTCTCATTTTCATCAATAAGTGAAGATTTTGTTCATTGTTGGTAATTTTAAAATGGGTTTTGAGGTTAGGAAGCCTCCAAATTTATGCGTATACAGCACTGCATTCATTCATCATCATATATTGATACATTGTGTCCCATTCTTTCCCATAATTTGATCATGAATTCTGATTCATAACACATAAGACATAATTTTTTAATCCCACAAACTAAGTGCTTAATATAGACATTTACTCATCTTTATATTGTCTTAAAAACACAAAATCAATGGCAGCATTTAGAATAGCACATCCAGGAATACCAATAATATGATTCTATAAAAGCTCTGTTCATTATTATTATTTGCAGAAATGTTTACTTATGCATTATTGCTCACTAGGAACCAAAGACAAAGCAGAAATCGAAAATTACCATTATACGTTGGAACTATCATAAAAATTCGCATTTTTCTATACGACAGAAATGTGGACAATCAATAAGACAAACTCTTCCACATCAAATCCAGTTTCCATCCCACCTCCAGAACTGGAGTTAAAAATCAAAGCAGGCTGACATAGATGAGATAAAGACGACCTCATATAGATTTCCTTTCAAGTGACTGTACTAGGTTAAATGCTCTAATGTTATATATCAATTAATATTTCCTTTAAAATGATATTCGGCAATTAGAATTATTGAAAGAACCAATATCAGAACCGATACCCAACAGCACTACATACCAAACAATGAAAAAGTACCTTTAATTTGAATTTCATCTGAGGATAAATGCACAAATCGCTTTATCAGAAAAACTTCTCCTTCTGTAGAAAAATATCATTAAGCTATTTGAAAAATCACATATGCTAGGGAAACTGTACAGATTAGTTATGGCAGTTATTTTTTACCAAAGGTACTGAAACCTTCAATGAAGTTAACTTCCTCCTTTTTAACCCAGTAACAACTTACTCAAAGTATATACCACCCAGTATTCTCCTTCACTCTGCAACGATTAATTTGTTACAACTGACAGAGAGCATTTATAGATAATAAACTATTTGTAAAAGTAAGTGTGTATCATCACATGCTTAAATATCTACTCAAAATTCATTCTGAAATTCTTTTTGATATCAAGTATGAGCTAGATGTGGTATAAGACACAAAAACGAGCAATACTTTCTACTTTCCTTTAAGAAACTTAGTAAGAAATGAAGAGTGTTTATAAATGGAGTTGTTGGGGGAAAAATTGCTTTTTATTACAAAATTACATGTTTTTTAAATCTACAGGTCTTATCTGAAACTTTTACCGCTCAGATACCCCATACGGAAAAGAGAAGGCAACACTCTAATGATGCTCAGAATGATCAAGCATAGTCTGAGGTAGGATGACCACGTAGTTTATCATCCAAAGCGGGACATCTGGAACACAGAAAGGAGCAATGGCAGCGCAAGTGCTAACCCTGACAGAATTCCAAAACAACAAGAATGGGCTGATACTGTCCTGAGCAAATCAGGACATTAGGTCATTAGGTCTGAGTCAGAATAAGGTACTGGGAGACAGTGAGCCCCTCGTGGTTAGAGCTTGGACTTTGAAGACACAGAAAAATGCGTTCCAGTCTTGGCTCCACCACTTACTAGTTGAGAGCAGTCTAACCTTTCTGGACCTTAATCCCTCCATTTAAAAATGAGGTTAATTTCTTCCTCAGGGCTGTTGTAAAGATTAAATGAAACACAGGGTGTAAACACTTAGCACACTGTATGGCACAGATGGTAATAAATGGTAGCTATTATTAGCTGTTGTTATTATCCTTGGTTAAAAAACAAAAGAGAGAAAATATTATACCCTCCAACCTCAGGGGCACTACAAAAAGCAATCATGGTTTTAAAGAGAGGGTCTAATGGATAGAAGGACACCTAAGGCATCATTTTTGAAGATGGTTAGGGGGCCTGAATAGTAGTTACCCCAATATCATACTATTCTTCTAGGGATGGTCTTACAAATAACTGTGACTATAAAAGAGAGTATCAATAATAAGCCAACCTCAAACAAGCGTCACTAGCTCAGAAAGGCTCCATTCTGTCCCTGCAACTCTCCTAGAACTCAGTAAAATATATTCATCCTTTTTTAAAAAATATGAATAGATATAGAACATACTCAAAACTATGTAGTAAATTACGGAAATAACTAAAATTCAGATTTACTAAAACTCCACCTAACCAGCCCTACCACATTATTAGGCACCAAAAGTATGCAGATAGACTGCTCAGCATTCTACACTGGCAGGAGAGCGCTGCTCTAAATACCACCATGGAGCTGCTTCTATGGGCAGCATTATTTTTACCACCTCTTTATTTCCAAGTTTTCATGCTTTTATAGGAGCAAATTGTTCAAACTTCACACTCAATACTCCAAGGTGAAAAGTATTCCTCTCCTCCAGATCACTTAACTTTAATAGAAAACAAAATATTCTCCAACTCAAATTCAACCATGCCTGCTGGATTTAATGGATAGGTTTGTCCCCCTTGGGCAATCTTTGAACCTAAGTCTCTAGGAGAATTAAGTAATATTAGGGGATTGAAATGAAATAAAATTCTAAGTCCACTGTGACGTGACATTCACAGGAAGATGGTAGATTATCCACCCAGTCCTCGAACACTTATAAATACAATATATAGCATATGTTCACAAAACAATTCTTGGAAATAAAACACAATGGGCACTCAGCAAATATTTTATATCACCAACACCTGCTCAAATCCTCTTTGAACTTTATTTCTAAATGTCACCGTTTTTTATTGAATCAATGGAAATTTTAAAGAAGAAACAGAATAAACATCCAGAGAAGATCAAGGGAGTTAGAAAAATCTTTATAGAAAGCCTCATTGAGTGCTACATGAGCCAGGATGCTGTCAGTCTCCCTGAAAGGGGTGGTGGAGTAATCTGTCACTCTACAACTTCAATCTCAGTATACCTAAAAGACTAAAAAGGACTCTGCACAGAAAAAGAAAAGAGAAAGAATAGTCTTAAGGTTTTTCTTAATATTATAAACAAAGGAATTGTGAGTCAAATACTAAGCATTGCAAATAAATTCATTTTAAATCACAGGCTTGAAGTTGGAGTTAATTTAGTAAACTAGTTCAGCTCTATTATTCAGGAAACTGTTTTAGAACACTCGTTTGAACACTAAGTGGGAGTGAGTTCTCCATTTTGGAAGGCAGTCAATGAAAACGAAGGTTTTAATTTATTTTAAACTGAATTCTGTCTCCCTCTGTAACTTCAACATGTTGGCCAAAGTTCTGAGGCCTGAAATAATGAAGAACTAATTTAGGTAAACTAATCAACTCTATATTATCTGTTAACATATGTTATCAGGCTCAATTTAAAAAGAACTACTTGATTTAAAATAAGAAATCTTTACCTAAAAATCTCTACATTCTGGATTTCAATAAGGGAGAATTCAATTCATAGACTGGGTAAGGAACAAGTAGATAATATTTAAAAAATAGGTCACGCTGGGTGGGAATAGTAGAGAAATTGGAGAATGGCCAACGAGAAAAGCCCATTACTCATCCTGGAAAAACTGTTGACGTGAGAAACTGTGGGTCCAATGTTGCTAGATTTGCAACTTTCCCAAGAGAAGGCCAAAATTCAGAATTTTTATGTGAACTACCCCAATTTTTTTAAGTTGGTAACTAATTCAATTTTTAAAATATTGTATAGGCCAAACAAAACAGCTTTGTGGACCGGACTCAGCTGAGCCCACCAGTTTGCAATTTCAAAATGATGGTATTCAAAAGTTTTACTTAAAGAGAAGATATTTATAGTTACTATTCTAAACACAAGTACATATAAAGTGAAAGAGTAACATATTGTAAACGTTATTTTATACTTGAAAGAAACTGGTTGCAACAGTCTCAGGTTTAAAAGTCCTCAAATTTTAGAGTGTCCACTGATGCAACAGCTGCCTTTACATAAATATAAGATTCATACAGCAAATTAACTCCTTAAAGAAGGTATCCTTAGTTATCCATGTTCAACAAACTTATACATTCAATTTTGTTTTAAACTGCAAATTCAAAGAATAAATCTCTAGCTAGGCAAGTTCAACTAGTTGGCAGCATAACTGGCTTTAACAACCAGCCTGACTTTTGCTGTTTTGTGACTTTAGCTGACGGATGCTAGAGAATCTTTCACTTCTCTTGTATTGTTATCTTGTACTGTTTTCCTAATTCATGAGCAAGCATGGTCAACTGTCAATGAAAGAATCATATATTAGATAATGGGTATATACATTATATGATCAAATTTTATTTTCAGGACTAACGTTAAAAATTGAAATTAGGTAGATTAATTCTCTCTTTGGTAGCCAATTTAAATATTAAAAATAGCTTCCATAAAGATCTATTAAAATAAATTAGATTTCACTTAATTCTTCTTGACAAAAAAAAAAAAAGCCATTATAGGCATATTACTATAAAGATGCTCAGAACCATTCACGTTTTTATATATCTTTTTTTTACATTCAAAGCATGCTGCTTCTGGACTCTATACCAAACATACAAAAACAATGAAGACCAAATTGAATGTGAAATAACAAAGGATTTATATCAAATACAAGTAAACATTCCAATAAACTTACAGTCAGAGAGAGTAGAGGAGACATAATAACCAGATGTTTAATTTAAATCATTGATAGAAATAGTCAGCGTCGCCTTTTCATAAACCACTTGGATTTGATTTGTATTCAAAAGCAATGGTAAATGTCAAACGACTACTAAGACCATCCTTCTGAATACAAGAAAATATCACGCTGTTTAACTCTCTAAACACAAAAAGTCCTTTTAGAAAACAAAGATAAAGAACAGCATGTCTTAGTCACACAGATCAATTCAAGAACCACAGAATGCTAAAAGGTTTCATGAGCTTAACAGTAAAGATCTTCAATTGCTAAATATTTTAAAATTTTGAGCTTCAGAAAAAGTTTATTGATAAAATCTTTTAAAATCCAGCATAAATCTTATATCTAAAGATCTGGGAAGAGTATCAAAGGGTATCTTCACGTGAGGAATCCTTTATTAAAGCTAGCAGCATTAAACATAGATCCTTTTCACAGGTATTAAGTTTAAAATAGTATCTAAAGGTTCTATTGTAACTTTATTATGAAAGAAAATGATGAGATTAGTCTAAAAAACAACTAAGAATGTTACATATAAATGTCAATTGTATGTGAACCTAGCTATGAAATGGAAATTGACTCATCAGCCATTTGCTTTTTCTTGTTTGTCCCCATCCAGTTTTTACTGCAGCAAAGATGTAAAATACATACAACTGGAAAAGCCAAAGAAAAGTCAAACAAATGGGCTAAATTTAATAGGAATAGTATGACCTTCCGCTGACAAAAGATGTTGAAAGGATTAATTGAGAACACATGTAAAGTGCCTATCAATTACCTGGGTAATACAGGTTACCTTCCTCCCCTCTATCCTTACAAGGCTCACTATTATCTCACTCATTAAGTCTTATGTCACCTAAAGAGAAAACCTTCTGAGAGCAGCAGGGACTCAGTTCTCCACAGTCTGAGACACAGCACCAAGTATTTAGTAGGGGGTTAATAAATGCCTCCTGATTTACTAGAGGATAATAATAATGAACAAATGTAAAACAGACGCTAATTGATAGGCTAAATGCATTAGTGCATTCCAGTGTCCTCTATATGAAAGGTTACTAACCCATCTCGGCTAAGTGCTGAAATTATAATTAAGTCTGATGGGAAGTCCTAGATTTATACCAATATAATTACAAATATTACTTAGCTTAGTGATAGAGTATGGCAAGAACAATGAGCTGAGTAATTTAGATGATACTACAAAGTGGGTTTTAATGTTTGAAACTCCTATTACAGTACACAGGATAAGTGCAAGCAGTGTAATTAAAACCTAAAAGAGTCTGATCTTTAAAACTCTACCGCTCAGCCTCATTAAAATGCATGATTTCTCAATTAATCCAAACTTTTCCATTAAAAACATAAAAATACACTTTCATTCCTTGCAAATAAATCTCTACAGTACAGGTATTTAGGATCAAATACCAAATAACCATTATAATTAGAAAAAAATGACTGAAATAGCAAGAGATCTGAGTAGATGGAACCTAAGAAAGAGAAGGTGAGGGCTGCCCACTTTTTTATTTGTAAATACCCAGTTGTGGCTAAATAAGCATTTGAAGAGCTAAATGATGAGAAATCTCTGAATATCTTTGTGTAAATAATACAAACCTAAGCAAAATGTTTACCAAGCAGATAGCCCTTATAATCATATATGGACTGCATCTAATTTACCTCTGTAGGCTCCAAGTACTGAGTCTTCTATGCATGGACATAGAATACTGTTGTGCAATGAAAGGCAATCGTTTTCATAACCATATTGTAGCACAAATAGTTTTCACCTTTCAACCTGAAGCATTACCAAGAAGTTTACCTCAATATTAAGCTAATGCTAAACACCTAAACCACGGGATGATGTTTTTCATGTACTTTATTTTATTAGTTATTATGAAAAACACTTAAAAGATTATTTTTAAGTTGCCACATAATTGGCTATGTAGGCGAATGTTGATTATAGAGAATAATTTAATTTTTAAAATTTTCATCAATTTTCTTTAGATTTTGATCCACCTCACATAGTGACTGTTACTCAAAAACAATAAACACCTTTTATAAATGATGACCATGGGCCAATTCTGGATTAGTAAATTTTTCAAGAAAAATTTTACTAAGAAAGAGCTAAGTCAAAAGCGATCACATAATTTAAAGAGCAATGCAGGGTATTTTATAAAAATGTCACTAGAGGGCTTCCCTGGTGGCGCAGTGGTTGAGAGTCCGCCTGCCGATGCAGGGGACACGGGTTTGTGCCCCAGTCCGGGAGGATCCCACATGCCGCGGAGCAGCTGGGCCCGTGAGCCATGGCCACTGAGCCTGCACATCCGGAGCCTGTGCTCCGCAACGGTAGAGGCCACAGCAGTGAGAGGCCCGCGTACCGCAAAAAAAAAAAAAAAAAAAAAAAAAGTCACTAGAATTTACCATACTTGGGGAAAATGTAGTCTACACGATTTTATTGTTAAAAGTATAAAAGGAAATTAAAAGTGAAAGAAGGAAGTGTATTGAATTTAAAGCATTATCCCACACAAACTTAATAAACCTCTGCTCTAATTTGTGAAAAATATTTAAATCTAAATAGGTTCTAATTATAGCTGAAATAGTGCTTTCTATTTTGAAAGCAAAATATTTTTGATGGCCTAACTTTTTAAAAAAATTTATTCTTGAAAAGTTACTGGGCAAGAATCTTATCTCACGCTTATATTTAAGAACCCACCTAAACTAATCAGCAGTAGTAGAGTAGTGCTAACTCTGCAGCTGTTTTCATTATAAAGAAATCTATTTTCAAGGGTTCTTGCATCTTTTTATTTCCTTCATTAAATATTTCAGAGAAAAACTGGTTTATCATTGTTTGTTTTTAAAACTACCCATTTTACACATTTTTACACTACATATTAAACTGTCCATCACATGACTTTCATTTTCAAAACAAATTCTATTTATACAGAAAACAAAATGTCATCCTTGAGAAAGGATCTGAATGCATAATGTTTGAAACAGTTTCTCAGAACCATTTTCCTTGATAAGTGAAAAGTAAAATTAACACAAAAGTTGCAAAAATATTAAAGTGACAAATCAACAATATGTCTTGGGTGGGTGACAAAGAGAAAATTCAACAGACTTCTATTATTATAACTGTTCAGGCAAACATTTGAGTCTTAGAACATAAAAACCTTGTTGCAAATATAAGCAATGGATGGGTTAAAAGTATACTTCTAAATGGTTTTCAAAACTTAAACATATCTATTTTAAAAGTCATGGCTTTATCACATTTTCCTTAAAGTAGACATGCCTTATTATAATGATAATCAGTACTTGGTACATAGAGCACATGTTTCCCTATGGAAAAGTATTTTTAACATGTTACAATGGTTACCTGTCATTTATGATCCAGTTCAGGCAGAGATTGAGAGAGCTTAGATTTTTGCACCTCTTGACAATTTCCATCACGGTTTCATTATCCAGTTCAGTGATATGACGTAGGTCCAAGCTGGAAAGGTTTCTTAGCTAATGAGATAAATAAAATGAAAGATGAGAAATATAAATACTACATTCATCCTCAAAAACTATAAATATAGTTTATTATAGAGTACCACTACAATAGACAACAGTCTAGAATCATTTGATTAAACTAAATGGTTACATAATATTTTAATACTAAATTAGAAATGAGGTCAGAAATCTATGATGAACAAGTGAATGGCAACAAACATTAAAATCAAATAGATTTATTGAGGCATCATAAAAATCAAAAAAGTTAGCAATCTAATAGGTGGGAAAGCTGTTAAATCTCTCACATAATTACCCACAATTTGACAGGCTTATTTTCTTTAACATTGTTCCATTTCAGATATTTATCTTCGTGATTATAATGCCACTTTTGTATAGGTTTTCTCTTTTTTTTTTTTTAAAGATAAAATATGAGTAAGTGGTTAATTCAGAGATATCTTGGTGATATTTTATCAATGTACTCCAAATTGCAGTATTATGGGTTGTATGTTCCACTATGTGAAAAGCAATATAAAACATTGTTTAAGAAGTAAAGATTTTCTCCATGTACCACCTTCCCTATTTGTTCACTTTCTCTACTCCTTTCTTGATGTTTCCTGCCTTCCCCTGATGTTGTCTCCAAGGAAAATTAATAATAATATCATTTACACAAAGATGGTAGGATCTTAATTATCCTCTTCAAATAAACTGTATCTCAAATAAGCTATTTTTGCTTAATAACATGCAAAGAATTAATTTGGAAGCATGTGGTAGACCAAATAACACCCCTCCCAAGGATATCTATGCCCTAATATGCTACCTCATATGGCAAAAGAGACTTTGCAGATGTGATTAAAGTTACAGATTTTGAGATGAGGAGACTACCCAGGTTAGGCCCAATCTAGTCACGTGAGTCCTTATAAGCAGAAAACCTCTCCCAGCTAAAGTCAGAGAGATGCGAGGGAGGAAGATGCAAGGGACATTTGAATTGTGAAAGGGATTCAACCTGCCTTTACTGGCTTTGTGGCTGGAGGAAGAGGGCCAGGAGTGAAGGAGTGTGGGCAACTTCTAGAGCTGACAGCCAGTAAGAAAACTGGACTTCAGACCTACAACCTTAGGGAACTGAATTTCCTCAAAAACCTGACGGAGCAAGAAAACATTCTCCTCTCGATCTTCCAGAAAAGAATACAAGGTGGATGATTTTAGTCTGATGAAACCTGTGGTGATCTTCTAATAAACTATGAGATAACAAATTTGTGCTGTTTTAAGCTGCTAAGTGTGCGATAATTTGTTACAGCAATAGAAAACTAGTACATGGCCTTTCCAGCACCATCAGGGAGCCCTCCAGGAGATGGCAGTCTTCTCTAGGCCACCCTCAAGTCCTGCTGTAGCGGAAGGAGGTAATTCCTGCATGAAGCTGACTTGCAGGCGTTAAGAGCAGTGAGTGAGGCGAGCTTCGACCCCAAGAGAAGAGAAGACACTGGTATTGCCGCTGCTGTAGGACAAAAGGGAAAGAAACACTCTAAAGCAGCACCATCCCAGAGAACTTTCTGCAATGATGGAAGTGTTCTCTAATTCTGCTGTTGAATATGGTAACTGCTAGTCACACGTGGCTACTGAGCACTTGAGACACGACTAGTGTGAGGAAGGACCTGAATTTTTTTTTTTTTTTTTTTTTTGTGGTACGCCGGCCTCTCACTGTTGTGGCCTCTCCCGTTGCAGAGCACAGGCCCCGGACGCGCAGGCTCAGCGGCCATGGCTCACAGGCCCAGCCGCTCCGCGGCATGTGGGATCTTTCCGGACCGGGGCACGAACCCCTGTCCCCTGCATCGGCAGGTGGACTCTCAACCACTGCGCCACCAGGGAAGCCCAACCTGAATTTTTTTATCTTATTTAGTGTTGTTTAGTTTGCATTTACTTTTTTTATCTGTGGCCAGTGGCTACCGTGTTGGACAGAGCAGCTGTGGAGAACTGGGTCTGCCAGGCAGCACGCACACCCTCCTCCCCACCTCAGCTCACAGAAAGGCTTCATGCAGAGTCCCTGCCCACTGCTCTGATGCATGTTGCAGGGCTACGGAGAGAAACAGGGATGGCTAAGAGGGTGAAATGCGAAAAGGTCCACAACAGTAGGGAACGCTTTCTAGTTGAGACAGCAAGCCTCTGTCACTAAGGCTGAATTCTGAGCCTTCAGCACGAGATTCAGGAAAACCTCTCTGCAATTAGCCTCTCAGGTCAGATGTTCCAAGAAGTCGCCGGCCAGTGTGGGACTCAGGACAACACAAGAGAACGGAGGCAGGACCAGGAAAGAAGAAATGGGTTGGACAAAGTTCTTCCTCAAGTTACCATGGACCGAGGCTTTACCAACATCAGAACATTGTTGGTACTTGGCAACCAAAGCATAACGAAAGGGAACAGACTCACCTTTGTTAAACAAACAAAACAAGAAGCAAAAACAAACAAAATGACAGACTGCTCTGGCTGTCTCAGCAGCTCCATACAGTTGACCAGTCAGAACCTGGGCTGACTCGCTGCTTCCCCTTCCTCAAGGGTCTCCTCACTCCACTGTCTGACAGCTATAGCCAACACCACGCCCAGAGCCCATAGGTGGGCTGCTTGGGCTCTAGCTTTATACCCCAAACATGGCACCTGATTCCTATCCTTTACCACTCTACCTACCACAAATAAGGTAGGCTGGTATTAAACAAAACCACAAAAATGTTTTGAAGTACCTAAAGGAACAATAACCAAAAGACTATATGAAATACAAAACAGATAGCAAAATAAGTTTCTAATAATCTTTCAGACATCATTAAAGTCATTTAAAGAATCAAAGGGCTGATGCACATGCTCCTTGCTATGCTTTCTTCCCTCCCAACTCCTGACGTATCCCCATGTGGTGATGGAAACAGAAATCATCCAGAATAACAGCTAGGCTTGGAGCAAAGTACAAGGTTGTGAGGCCAGTACCCATGTCTTTTATGAAAGAGCAGGAGACACAAGGAGTACAGAGAAGACTGCAATAAAACAGGAGAGACAATGGTAATGCCAAATGGAACAAGTCTCAAAGTCTCGATATTTTGTTAGTTATATTTGTTGTTGTTATTTTTCACAAATGTTGGAAGAGCAATGGTCTGGAAGCAGCCATGGAGAGCAAAGAGGATCCTGCCTCCACTTTCTGACCCTGAGAAACACAGTGAGAAAATAAACAGGTATGGTAGGTAAAATTCTAAAATGACCCCAAGGACCCATGCCCTAACATAATCCCTGACCTTGAGTGTGGGCAGGACCTTATAAGGAAAAGTAAAAGGATTTTGCAGCTATAATTAAGATCCCTGACCAATTAAACACTGAATTAGTCAAAAGACAGTATCCTGGATGGGCCTGGCCTAATCAGTTGAGCTCTGACAGAGGATCTAGAGGTCAGAGAGATTCTCCTGCTGGCCTCGGAGAAGTGAGCAACCACGTTTTGAGAGGGACTGTGAAAGGCCCAGTGAAAAGACCACATGGCTAAGACCCTCAAGAGGCCTCTAGGAGCCGAGAGCAGTCCCTGACTGACGGCTAGAAAGAAAATGCGGACCTCAGTCCTATAACTACAAGGAACTGAATTCCTCCAACAACTACATGAGCTTGTAAGAGGATCTAAACTCTAGAAAGAGATGCAACCCCAACTGACACCTTGATTGTGACCTCGTGAGACCCTGGAAAAACCAAGTTGCAGCATCTAGACTTCTGACCCATGGATATAGTAAGATGATAAATATATGTGGTTTTAAGATGCTAAGTCTATGGTAATTTGTTGTACAGCAATAGAAAATCAATACAGAAGGGCTATAGGGGACTCTGTATACTTGAAGAGAAGTCCGGTTTCTCTTAAGACAAGGGGGAATATCCTTAGCCACTTTAAACTCTGAGGCTCACTGCCCTTCTTTAGATACGTATGTTCACAAAAGCTTAGAGGGAGATGCTTGCTCCATTCAGCCTTCTCTCTAGGTGTATCTTCAGTGGCCAAGAAAACACTTCCTGGGAAGACAAGCAACTCTGATGTGGTCACTCTTATTAGCTCCACATTGGGGAACTAAATTTCTCAAACCAGTCTTCAATCATGGAAAGATGACTTTAATGGAAATCCATTATGAAAATGTTTGCATAGCTCCTGGCTTTCAATTCATATTCTGAGAACAGTCACATATTTCCTATACATATCTTAATACCACAAGGTAACTGTCTTTTCACTTTCACTAAACTTTTTCACAAGATTTTGCATTGGAGCTAAACTAGTAGCTAAAATGGTTTCACTGGTCAAGTTTTCTTATTCTTGATTAAGCAAAGATGAACTTATACATGTCAAGGATCAGAATCACTGTTAAATTTGATATCCCTCTTAATGTTCCCCTCAGTAATGTACCCCGTATTTCTATTTTCTATATAAAAATCACCATTTCTTATGACTATAAATGGAGTATAATCTATAAAAATTTTGAATCACTCTTGTACACCATAAACTACTATAATATTGTCAACTATACCTCAATTAAAAAATCACAAAAAAAAAAAAAAAAAAATCACCATTTTCTAAAGCCACATTATTTTTATAGTTAGCTTTCTTTACAGGGTATTTTTGATCCCAACACCCCCAAAATTTTCATCACTACTGTTCTGGGAACATGTAAAGAATGAAGTAGCCTCTGTGAGTTGCAGGTACTGGGCAGCTTGCTGAGCTCATGTCCTGACAGCAGCCTCATGTCTGTACCACAGCCAAATCAGAAATACACGAAATGGACCCACAGAGCTGCTAGAAAATATTTTGAAGCATGACTATTAAACCTATGAATGTTGTGGATGAATTTTGCTACGTGTAACCATATGCATATGTGAACTGTTATTAAATATAGCCATGTTTAATACATATACAGCATCACTTTATTTTCCCAATTATACTGTATTATACTCACTACAAAGATGAAAATCATAAAAATTCTATCCAGCCACATAAATATCTCCTACACATGCATATTCCG